TTTAAAAGTAACTTTCCCCAACACTGATCCTGAGTAGTGTTTATGCATTATGAAAGAAAACGAAATCATGATTCGGTCCAGATTTTGACTCTTGTCTAAGTTGCGCAATCATTCTCTTATACGTCATGCCTACTAATTTCTCTTTTGTTCATGCAGTTATATTCTCATAGTACAAAGATCTAAACCAGACACATGCCTTTCAGGAACAGCAGCTCTTTGCATCTGCTATCCATCAAGATGGAATGAGCGACCAAGTCTTTGATCCTTCATCCAAGCACGTGGAGGGTGGGAGAGGGGTTGACTAATTCATAAAAAAACCTCTGCCCATACGCAACACACATGTGCTCATTGGATGCTGTCAGCATGTTGGTGAAATTGAGAAATATTTAAGTCATTGACACGGCATGTTATTCATCAACATACTAAGCAAAACAAAATCTTGTGTTTGTTTACTCAGAAGTGGCATAATGTAAGAACAATAGAAGCAGATTTTTGGACGCACCTACCGTGCAACTAACTGTTTAAAAACAGATTAGTGTTGCAGTAATTAATTACAAGATCTGGGATGTTCTATAGATGTTTAATTAAAATTCTCTCAAAATGAATGTGTTTTTAAAAAGAGCCTCTGTATAAAGATGGGCATACATCTGGTTTATTAGTTTGTTTATTAGTGGGAGGTAAGCAGAAGTGAAATTTAAGAATATACACCACTGTTCAAACGATCAAATACATTTTGGCTTTATTGAGCAGAAGCTATTTCTTTCAAAAACATTAAAAAGTCTTACTGACCGCAAACGTCTGAACAAGTCATAGAGACATTCTTAAATTTGTTTATGATTTTAGTGTTTACTATTTCTTCTGTTTTATTTTCATTTTACTTTATCGTCAATTTTTTGTTATTTTATGGCACTTTATTCATTGTTGTACTTCAGTCAACTCATGTTTTAAATATTGCTATATAAATAAATTTGACAGTGGCATTTTAGAAAATCTGTATGGGGTGAAATTCGTGTCCAAATTACATTTCAAAACATGTCCAATTAAAGTAAGTAAATAAATAAATAAATAGATCAACCTTGGAATTATAAGGTTCTATCTGTTATTCACATATTGTTATTCTGTGACAACTTATTTACATTATTTGATGTTTCTTCTGTAAGCTGTGTACATTTTGGGCCTTTTTTAGAGAAAACAAAAAGGGTTCTATCTACTGAAATCTATGTCAATATTTCAAAACTGCTTAGAATGCAGATAGAACCTTACAATTGCAAGGCGATGAAATAAATAAATAAGCTATATATTGTAAAATCAAAATGAAGCCTATTTCTAGCCTATGTTTTGCTTCTGTGACATTATTTCATGACAATCAAGCACATTGTCCCCATATACAACTTTGCATTACTGTTAAGCATCTGGATATTCCGTAAATCTTTTATTTTTTTTTTTACAATTTTTTCTTGTTTGTTATTCCCATTATTCAGTCACATTCCTATCAGCATTATGGCAGTACAAAAAATAATATCAAAGTGTGTGTGTGTGTGTTTTTAAATAATATATGTAGGCTTCATATTCTTTAAACAAAATATAATTCACTTTTTTTCTACATTTTTCCTTTTTTTTTTTTCTTCTTTTTTTGATAGATTTTTGTGAAATTTACCCATATGTGACCCTGGAGCACAAAACCAGTCTTAAGTCGCTGGGGTATATCTGTAGCAATAGCCAAAAATACATTGTATGGGTCAAAATTATCAATTTTTCTTTTATGCCAAAAATCATTAGGACATTAAGTAAAGATCATGTTCCATGAAGATATTTTGTACATTTCCTACTGTAAATATATTAAAACTTAATTTTTGATTAGTAATATGCATTGCTAAGAACTTCATTTGGATTACTTTATAACTACTTTATAACTTTCATAACTTTAAAGGCAATTTTCTCAATATTGTGATTTTTTTGCACCCTCAGATTCCAGATTTTCAAATAGTTGTATCTCGGCTATCCTATCCTAACAAATGGAAAGCTTATTTATTCAGCTTTCAGATGCTGTATAAATCTCAATTTCGGAAAATTTGAACCTTATGACTGGTTTTGTGGTCCAGGGTCACATATATTGTATAAATCTCAATTTCGGAAAAATTGACCCTTATGACTGGTTTTGTGGTCCAGGGTCACAAATAATGACTCCAGAACAAATAAAGGATTTGCAGCTGTGACAAAGCATGGTGGGTTAAGGTAATTATGACTGAACAAAGCTCTGGAGCTCTGTTTATTTATTTATTATTTATTTTAGGTAAAACACCCACCAAAAAAACCTAACTGCTCTGGATGGACTGTGGTGACAGTGTGGGCTAATTACAAGACTTCACAAAAGTGTGGAGGTAACACATTCAGCAGGAACCTGTGAAGGACTGAACAGCCATCAAAGTACATGAGGAGTAGAGGAGTTTAACAGCTGATCGGGAGGTTTGGCCAAAAGTACACTAGGAGGCCTCACTACCTGTGATCAATGACAACACTATTTTAGCATGCAATTATTTAGAGAAAGTGAACTGACAACAAGCACTCAAATGAGAACATACACTCCAATTTGTCAAAGGAAGAACGAATGGCAAGAGAGACATTTTCAAACTGATATTAAAAACAGTTTCCCCACAAATCAATATTCTGTCATCATTTACTCACCCTCACATCTGATTTGCTGTTCCATGCAAGAAAGAAAATAAATGGTGACAGAATGTTCCTTTTCAGTGAACAAATCTTTTGGGTTATTTTACTTCCATAACACGTCTTCGTTCAGACAAGTGGAAAGAAAACAATACATACACACAAGTGTTTATTATATTACACTTTATCGATTCAATATAACACATACTTTAAAGATTGACTCTGAAATTTACTTTTTTCAGGTTTTTTTTCAGAAATCTCCACTTCAGTAGCACTTACATACACCAAACTTTACAGTTTTATTCCCATATTATGAAGATTTTAACAGAGGGGTTTGTTCATACAATATTAAAAATAAACATGAACCTTCATCATTCAAGAATTTTATGATTCATGATTAAAATGCTCTTCAAAAAAAAAAAAAAGAACTATATAAAATATAACAACTGTTCACTGAATAGTTATTTGGGGAACCCAAAAAAAATGGTTTCAAGTGTATATAATTTACCTGATTTATATAACATTTTATTCTTAAACTATTTGGAATATTTTATGACAGTATTTTGAGATTTATGCAGATATCCAATAAAAAGGATCTGATAAAAAGATCTGCTCTTTCTGATAAAAAGGGATATCCAAAAACGCCTATGTAAAAACTAACTCCAATATGTCTAAATAAATACATAAATTGAACCAGTTATTATACATTTTTTAGATTAATGTTCTGAAAATGTATGCACATTAGGCCATATTTAATGACATAATGCCACATTTGCATATTTAAACAACATTTCAGAAAACTTGTAATACAAAAGAGTTGTCTTATTGTACCATGATTAATCAAGTGGGGAAGTATGATAATATCTATTAGTTAAAAAATCCTGTGGTGTCTTGCCTTCAGCAGAAATATACACATTTTTAGTGTCTCAAAATGTTTCAAATACAGATGTGAGAGATCTATAATCCTAATTATCAAGCCATCAAACTTAAAACAGACTCTCAATGCTTCTGTGAAGGCATGTATGGATGAAAAGCAAACTCCTAGCAAATGGCTCATTCGTGTGGACTGAGCTGTTAACAGCATGATGTCTGTGATGGAACTGAAGGCATTTAACACAGTGATGATTTACAGCATTGCGGGTCAACAGTTTATATTCTATAGTGAAAATCTATAGTGACGTGACATGCGGCCAAGTATGGTGACCCATACTCAGAATTAGTGCTCTGCATTTATCCCATCCTAAGTGCACACACACAGCAGTGAACACACACACACACACACACCGTGAACACACACCCGGAGCAGTGGGCAGCCATTTATGCTGCGGTGCCCGGGGAGCAGTTGGGGGTTCGGTGCCTTGCTCAAGGGCACCTCAGTCGTGGTATTGAAGGTGGGAGAGAGCGCTGTACATTCACTCCCCCCACCTACAATCCCTGCCGGTACGAGACTCGAACCCACAACCTTTGGGTTCTCAGACCCAATTGCCTAATTTACATATGTTGTGGCTCCACATGGGCTTTTTGAAAGTCAAAATCATTTATTTGTAAAGGCAAATCCCACTCAGAATATTACAAAAATGATAGCTGCAATTAAAGTGATAGTTTTAAAGATAGATTAAGATGTACAATGAAAGTCAAAGGGGTCTAATGTTGTTAGGATCACAATGTTCTGCAAAATATCTTCTTTTGTGTTCTGCAGAAAAAAAGAAAAAGTTATATAGCTTACCTTTGACGTGAAGGTGAGTAAATGATGACAGACCTTTTGTTTTGGATGAACGTGCCTGTATAATAGCCTACACTAAAATGTAGAGATTTTGGTGTGCTGTTTTAAATCAGTGGAAACGCAAACACATTTAGCCTATTGATGATTAACGTTACTGATACGCGGGCTACTGTTATTGCACTATATGAGTGACACTTACAAAGAAATAAAAATGTATTTTTTTCAAACTATTATTATTATTTACGTAAAGTGTACCCAAATCGAAAAATCAAGTGTATTACTTTAAATATATCGTAAGTTTCAGCTTTTGTTTACATGATTGAAGGTGCCGCCTCAGACCGCCGTTGTGTTGGATTGTGCCGTTAGAGGGGGTGCATTTTTTTTTTTAGCTTAAAAGTTGAAATATATCACTGGATCAAACTGTCCATTACAGATTATGCAGAGGCAACACAGTCTTCAAAAGTTTCCAAGTAAACAGCAACTAATGATAATCCTACGAGAATATTCACTATAATATTTGGAAAGTTTATTCGCGTGCTTCCCCGCGTAAAGTCGTTCTAAGTGAATGGTACGGTCCACCCCCTACTAGTACTGTTTTTCTTATTAAGTTACTCGCTGTTCCTATAATGAAATATGCCCGAGACATAAGGATTTATTATTATCATTATTTCTTAAATCTCTCTCGGATGTAGGATTTCACTGACTTTGTTCTTTTCTGAAAAGTACTCGGGAGCAGGTAAATGGGAAATATGGCAGTTAGGAGCGTCCTTTGAAGTCTTTTCCCTTTTCGTCGCTGGATTGATCGTGTAATTGAGAGGGTGTTGTTTGAAAAGCCTCATGTTTTCACCGGGTCAAGAGGAGCACTGTGCGCCCACCAAAGAGCCAGTAAAGTACGGCGAACTGGTGGTTTTGGGGTGAGTCCATAAGCGCAGCTATTTTTCCTCATGTGTGTCCAATATTGACGAGTTCACGCGATTTTGGTTCTATTATTTGCTGTTTCGAAGTTTCCTTTTATAATCTCCCAATAGGGTTCTTCAGAAACTCTTTAATATATTTTCAAACCGCTGTTTAGTTTATAACTGCGTTTTTGGAGACTACGGAAATAGTAGTTTGTTTACACACTTGATATTGGTGTGCCAGACCTCCCAGCTCTTATAATTCACGCGCTCACGTTACTGCACAAATGAAACACGTGCGCTGTAGCGAGCGCTGTCTGTAAGCTAGCACGAGCCAGTCAAATAACTACATTTAGGCACTCATTATTTTTATGCACGAAAAATCATCCTCTAAAGTGATTTCCTGATGTCTTAGAAACACGGTTTTTAAACGTGATGTGCATTTTGTTCTATCATGGGGGTGGATGGTTAGGCTGTGAATTGGTTTAATCCTCAACACTCGGATTTTGGCACCAGCGTTTGGGTTTGGATGGGACCTTCTCATCGGGATCGTTCATCATCAGTGCGGGAAGTCATAACGAGATGAAGGGCGGAAGCAGCCCACTAAAGTTATTTGTTCCCCCTTCTTTCTGTGACTGAGCAAAGAGGCTGTCTCCTATTTACAATACCCCCTCCTCGCTCTGCTGGGTTGTAAATCACATATGTTCAGTGATCTAGAGCAGGGCTTTTCAAACCTTTCCTGGAGCACTGCATATTTTGGCTTTCTACCTCATTAGTTAAAAGATGCTTTGGATGTGTCAGATAAGGGCAATCCAAAATGAGCAGAATCCTGAATTCATATTGATGGCATTACAATCAAAATCATCCAATCCCAAGAGATGTTTAACCTCAAGCATCTGAAATGTGCTATAGACCTTCATATTTTTTTAACCTATTAAAGCCTACTGTGTCATGTTTTATACATGCATTTGTAAAGCTTTTAAATTATGAACAAGATCACAGATTTGCTAGGAAGTGTTGTATACAATCTGCTACATGCCTGCTGCCATGTGATTGATAGTTTATACTAAATGTAAAAATGTCCAGTGTCAGGTTGTGGTATTTTAAGATTAACTTTTAACTCAGGCATAAGATTAACTTTTATATTGTTAGTAGTAATTTAAGATGAGCATTTACTGGACTGAAGCAACTTGATTATCTGTATATCATTTTTTTTAGAAAAGTCAATGTTAAAATATATCATACATGATAGATCAGGCTTTTGAGGAACGTTTATTTCTCTCAGACATCATTGTATTGCATTGGCAGCATTGCATTATATGTTTTGCCCTCCACGAAAACTGCATAGCTTTGATTAATAAAACTAAACATTTAAACACATCTTACTTAGACATATTATTGGGAGCTATAAAGTGACAACTGATATTTATGTGCAATTTATGTTGTGAAGATTTTATTGTTTTACATTACGAGCTATCTCAATTTCTATCAGCATCGGCACCAAATTACATGTTTTTGCTCAGTTTGGGCCTCTGAATATAATTGGTGTTTCTTCCTCCTTAAAGGCACAATATGTAATTTTTGCCATTAGAGGGCGCATATTCAAAATAAACATAGACAAAGGCGTAGTTTGATGACAACGTGACTGAGTGTGGAATCATGGGAGTTGTGGTCTTCATCCCCACAGCCGATGCAATCCGACGGGACTCGGGCAGAAATCATGTTCATGGATGAGCTAATGATTTATTAACGTACTAGAATGAAGCAGGATGAGGTTGAAAGCCGTCGAAGCGAAATGAGGCCGCTGAACGAGCGCGACACACGGCTCGAAAGCAGCGGAGCTTTTATTATGCCACAGTCGACCGCTTCCGCTGCTTCCGGTCGTGCGTATGTGGGGGAAAAAGCAGTGCTGTTTTATCATACTAGATACATTTGAAAGCTCTGTTATAATGCTACTCTGTGCGGTCATCACCGGTCTATTAAAACACACAACATATTAAAGCGTCTTTGGTGTTTCCATGTTTTCTACAAAACAAAACCGGAAATCGAGGGGTTATGACGTCATTGGCAGGCGACACAATGACACTATGGACACGGTCCGTGTCACTAGTTAAAATTGCTTATTTCTCTGGATTTAAACATTCTTCGAAACATTTGGGATAATGTAAGTCAGCAAAATATATAACACTGTTCTAGTGATTTTTGGATATTTTAATAAAAAAATCTTACATATTGTGCCTTTAAATGGGAGCTCCATATTCCCTTACTACTGTATATGAGCCATAAAAAATGTTCCATTTCAAAATTTTAGATTTCTGATTATTCCATATGTCAGTCTTTACAGGGCTAAAACAGCAATGAGATGAATTTCAAGGGTTCAGAGGTACACGTTTTTGTTGGAGCAGCTTGTCTAAGAGCACAGAACGCTTTGTTTCAGTCTCCAATTTGACGTCAATATGTAGGCCAACTTGGCTGCAGGCGCCCTGGGTCCCTCTGGAATTTCCTATGTTTTTTTTTTTTTTTATAATAGTGGTTTTTGATTTGAGTGTCATGTTTTGTTTCGTAACAAGTGTCGTCTGATTTCACATCCTTATGGTGGCTGTAGGTCCTTGTTTAACAACCTGTGTTTTAAAACACAGCAGCTTCATAATACCTTTAAAATAAATACATAAAATCATGTAACGTTTGTAGAATAAAACAAAGTTTCTTGGAGGAATAATTTTCAAGAAAATGCTTATTCTTTTTTTTTTAATGCAGAATATAATTTTAAATATGACGGAGACATACAGCCTTTGTAAGATTAATGTAAAAAATATCATAATTGTGACTTCTGAGCACATTAATGATTGGGCAGTCATATTTACAAGCATATCATCTCGAGTTCAAGGATTCCCACAAGTTTCCAAGTTGTGAAGTTGTAGGTGATGTCGATTTGAGCCCAGGTGATTTTACCAGGAAAATTAGCTGAAAAGCGGACCAATGTGACTGCAACTTAGGTGATCGCCTAAATGAATAATTTTCATCATTCTGAGTTCAGATGTAGTTTTATTCAGAATATAATTATTTTGTTTTGTTATGGTTACATCTGCATTATTTTGCCAAATTAAATGCATGATGTTATCATAAGTGTCCGACTCAAGGTAGAGGCTTCCCAGGTGCACTTAAAAGGCAACATAATTTCAGAATCTCATAAAAGTTAACACATGACCCAAACCATCACATAACTGTAAAGCTTTATCAGTAGAAGTTTACAGTTGAGTGGTTTGTGTTTTATATGTAAAGTGAATAAAGTTTTATTATGCACCTGTCATAGTTAGGGTTGGGTACCGAACTCGGTACTTTTAAGGTTACCGACCGAATTTGCGTCGGTACTACCGAGTACCGATTCACGTTAAATCAATCATGCCAAATTTTGGTACCTGAGAACGCATCTGGGCGCATGCGCTACAGACAGAGAAAGAGAGACCCTGTGACGTGATGTCACCCCTGCAACTCATTCAAACAACACACAGGGCAAGCCGAAATGTTCTGAAGTGTGGTTACATTTCTAGGGCCATATGGTTTCTGCGAAAACGCGGATGGGATCGTGGAGTCTATTCATAAAAACTTAATTTACTCTATAGCGCAGAATGCCACGGAATTCGTCAATTTTGGACGAATAAATCAAAAGTAGCCACTGCCACTTAATTCGAATCGCGATATGAACTAGTGTCTGTGAATATTAAAATGCAAAAAGACGGTTTAAATATGAATCCTGCATGTTCCGCTTGCCTCTGTATGTATGAATGGCGGAAACGCAGTTTTGTTTACTACACAAATACTGAAGCACGCGTGACGCTCGCGGTGATTTTCGGCCTCTGCGTCTCACTAT